ACACAACAGCAGCAAACCAGATGTTATGCTGCTACTTTTTATATCCCCCCACCTTCCTCTTCTTTCCCCTCTTTGTCTGCAGCCGCACTGTGGATGCTGTTGCTGCTACTGTTTCCCCCTCTACCTTTTTCTCCCTTTATCTCCTTTTGATGCTGCTCTGAGGTAGCTGAAAGAACTAGATGGGATACATAACAAATTTTCATTTTTTTCACTTATACTTTGCAACTGAAATAATAAATACTTTTAAGGTAAAGTTGCAAAGCATAAATGGTTGTTACAATACCCCAAAGATAAGATTTCACCTTTACCAAACAATGGTGATGAAAAATCATTTTTCTCATCCTTTTCCATATAGATGCCGACAAATATTTAAAGCCCTCACAAATCTATTCCAGCAAGGCAGCAACCACTGTAAATAGAGGTCATTCACTTTTCTTTAGGTGCAGCTAGGTGATATTGAACCATATACCTCAAACCCTTACAAGCTTAATACACCAATCAGATGTTTTGCTGACCCCTCATCATTTCCGAGCTCTTGTAAGAGCAACACTAGATATACCCTTCCTCAATTATGGATATAAACACCAACGAGGGGATGCACACGTTGCACCTGAGTGGAATTTGATGAACGCCCAATGAAAACCTAGTGAAGTGACATCCATTTTTAAAACATGTCATAAAGGAGCTCCCAAATCCCAATTAAGTATTTCTTGGGCAATTAATCAAAGTTTAGCATTAGGGCCTAATATCTGACCCCGAGTACTTCTTGTCCTCCACATGCGACTCATATGGCTCCATTCACTCATAGTCTCATAGTGTCTCCACAGCAAACCAAGAGGCAGGTTATTTTACTTTTATTTTATCCTTCTTTATGGAACAAAGGCCATAGCTAGGACTTGAATAGGATACTTCTACACCAATCCACCCTGTTATGACTGATCAAGGCCTTGGTAATGGAGATAATTGGAAAATTGTATATAATGGATATAGAGATGATGAAAACCAAAATGAATCAATAATGCTCCTTCCGAATGGATTACAAACCCAGGGAAAGAAGGTTAAGCACCATTTGGTTATATGGTACTTCAATGACTTGAAACTTGATCTGTGCCCCTACCCGTAAATGCTTCATTTTTTTTCCATTATAAACTATGCTTGATTAATGTTTTTGCATCTAATCTGTGACTTTTTCTCAAGTCAGCAAAATTAGATACCTTTGATGCTGCAGATTTAACTGTTTCTAGCTCATATATGAATGTGGTCCTTATTAATGACAAGCTAAAGGAATGAAAACATATAGCTCCAGATATGTACTAGACTACGACTTTGGACACTTCATTCCAATATACTCAAAAAATTGTTACGGCCATGACAAAAAACTTTGAAAATAGTTCAAATCAAGCTAACTAGCACAAAGGCAAAAGCACTATCAATTCCATCTCGCTAAACATGGTATGACGGATAGATGGCTTACCTGTGTGCAACGCTTAGCAATGTGACCAAACATCCCACAGATAAAGCATGGTTTCTTCCTCTTCTCCGAGGTGCAGTTTGCAGCAGCATGGCCTTCCTCGCCACAATTGAAACAAGCACTCGAATTTCTCTCAACAGGATCAAAGTATCTTGGACCACGCTAATCAGTAATATCAGAAAACTATTATAATAAACCAAATCCGTTGCATATGTATCAAAATCAATACTTAAACAACCCCCCTAATAAAGTGTAAAGTTCAAGTTTTTCAGAAATCCTTAACAAGAATTATAGGGACGAAAATAAAGAGCTTTCTTAATAAGTATGACCTTCCTTTTCTTCTCTTCTTTTAAGAAGTGGAATATCTGTGTTAGGCATACTTGGGGAAAAAATCAGTGTGTACCATTCATATTGGTGACTTATCTTGATGGCATAAATGCAGCTCCATCAAATCCCCAAGCGGGTCTTTCAATATATGTTGCAAACATGTGAGGTTATTTTGATAATAAGTTTTAAAGGTTTCTTTAAAAAGTTATCCTCAAAAAGAACATGAGCACTTCATAGTTCATACATACCAAAAGCTTTCTCAAAACCGCATTGTCAGGCACTTCGTTCACTTCTGTGACAACAGAATCAGCTGTTCCAATTGGTTCATCTTCTTTGACTGCAGCATCCACCTATATCTCAAATAAAACATCTTAGATTACAATAAGACTTCATACAGATTACAAAAAGAACCGTCACTAGCATGAAGATGAGAACTTATATTCACTAATCACATAAAAAACTTACAATCTAAGTATAAAGGTGGAAATTTATGAAAGTAATTTGTGACAAGTTGTAGTAAGCTGTAACATATTGATTTTAGAGCTTTTGTTTTCCAAGTTTAGCCAAAAAATTATAATTGACAGAAGAAGAATAAGAATTCACATAATGATACTTTACCTTTCCTTCTCTGATGTTAATAAGAAAAGAAAACAGCATTGTCAAAATGCAATAATTTAAGAAATTACTGATAAAAGTATAGAATCTTATAGCTGAATTCACCCCATAAATAAATTGCTTTGTCCGGGATATATTAAACAAAGTAAATAATGGAAGTCCTAAATACAAAGCACAATGCACAGTGGTTTTGTTTTGATTCCGTATCTCAACAAGTAACGAAGTTATCGAGTAAACAACTTTTAATGAGAGAACAGATGCATTAATATACAAATTAATAAAGCAATTAAATAGATTCACGGAGGAATTAAAAAAAGTAAAATTTATACCAAGAGAACTCACATCCTCAACTAATGGTACTGCTCCGATTTCTTTCTTCTTATTCTTCGCCTTCGCCTTCTTCTTCTTCTTCTTACTCTTCCTCTCCCCCTCAACCTCGCCCTCATCGAAATTAACCTCGATATCATCGAAGGAATCGGAAGGAACCGAGACCACCTCGTCCTTCATCGCTCTTTTCCTCTTCGATTCCCTCTCCTTTGCCCTCTCCACGATCTCCAGGCTCAGATCCTTGTTCGCCTCCTCATCGTCGGTGCTGCTGAGAAGTATCACCGACTTGGAGGGATGGCCGTCGTTGGAGTCGGAATTGGCTCTCTTCGCCGGCGGTCTCCTGCTGCGGCCGCCCATTGCCAGCGTTTCGATTGAGAGCTAGGGTTTACGAGGACGAAACCCTGATCCTAACCGTAGATTTCGATTTTGATACGGGCCGCGAGAGGAAAGTTCGGGCTCGAGAGGGAGAACCAAAAAAACACGAGGAGAATTCGTGGGTTCTATGAATCGGGTCGAATTGTGTCCGGATCTAGTGGAGAGGAGGGTTCAGGCTTACCCGTTAACCCGTTAAGGGTTTAGATAGCTAAAAGAGCCCATTCTAGAGTCAAATATACTAGTGTGAATACCGTGCAAAGCACGACATATCTTTTTTTTCCTCACTACAGTAATCCCGATTTTAGATGCTACAATATTTTTTGAATTGCTACAGTATCCCGCTCTGCTACAACAAAAAACTTCAAAAATGCTGCAGTGTCTTGTCCCCTTGATTGTTGCAGTAATAACGCTACAGTAAATGATACTGTAGTATTTACTATAGTATGAATAGTGATTCTTAGGTTCTCTCATTTGTATAGATGAATAAATATATAAAAAATAGTGTCGGGCGACGCTGACCGGACTAAAAGTTGCCTGGCATCTGATACAAACGTCTCGGGTGCCCCAGCGCAGGCACGCCCCAACGTCATGGCCTATTATGCTATATAAAATTGCACTAGAGGAATGAACTGTTGCTTCTATGCCAAGTACAAAAATTCCATAAAGAATCACGAATAAGCTTACCCGAAGGAAGATCTCAAACTACTATAATAATGCATTTATCACATTTAAATCACTAACTTGAGCGTCAAGAAAAGAGACAAACTTTAGGGCATCTCCAACCCAGCATCAAAATGGTGCAAACGGTGCATTTTTTAGCACTGTTCCTTCTCCAACCCTGCCTCATTTCTTGCGTCATTTTGGTGCATTTGAACAGTGCTCCACCAAATATGGAGTCGCACTGTTCATCGCTTCATTACTGTTCATGTTTTATTTAAATTTATAAAACAACCCCAATAATATTTAAATTTTATAATTTTACTCCAATTGTATAATTTAGACAAAATAAATTATTTTTTTAATTATAAAAATAATGTTAAAATTTAAAAGACATTATTATTAATTATAATATTAAAATCTAGACATTATAATTAAAAGTAGATAAAAAAGAATATGTGAAAAAAAATAAAATTTGATATGTGGGGTTAATTGTTGAAATAGTTAAAAATATAGGGAATAGAAAATAATAATATAAAAGTAGATAAAAAGGAATATACTAAGAATATTCTTTTTTGGTGCAAAAATTGGTGCGGTAGGTTGGAGATGGATTACTGTTAGATGTGATTTTTACACCATTTTTGGCTGTGCTCTGGCCTTCTTTTACTCATGAGCGCCCGTGATATGACCATCTATTGGTACTTTACAAATATACATTGGTTGTGCGTGGAATCTACCTCCACTTCTTTTATAATTGAAGATGAGCAACATTTCTCAAAAATAAAAAAAAGCACGTACAGAGCAATATTCCCACGTTGAAGCACAATAATCACTCTTATCCTACTAGTCTCAATGAGATTATTTAAAACATCGACTCCATATAGTTTTAAGACCAATAAAAACAGCTGGATCGAAGACCCTTATTGGCGTGAGCGCGCTCTCCCACGCACGCACGCGCGCATACACACATACACATACACAGCATAAGAGAGTACATATATTTCCTACAATATTGTTTGAACACTACTACAATATGATAATTAAATCCACCAGTCATCAGCTTAAAATATATACGTGCACCCTCTTATATTTATATATAAGTGATCCGTTACTTTCGTGGCCTCGCTATGAGAACAGGGCACCTTGCATGATGAGCAACGTAGTCGCTTACACTCCCTAGAAATGCTCTGCACATCATCAACAATCAACATGAACTACGTACGTGAGAAAATCCATCGACGTCACACGAAGAAAGATGCTACATATACATAGGGACACGCCACAACTGTGTGCATGTAGGGGGGAAAAAAGGAATTTTATAAATCATAATCATGTTTCCATTAACGTACTGATTATGATTCGTGAGTCTCCCTGCCTGAGAGTAAAAGAGTCAAAACAAAATTATCCAGCGGTCTATCTGCCTAATTAAATCACAGGAGTAATAAAGCTCTAAAGCTTGATACTGGAAGGATTTACATATATACAATCAACCCAGTAATGTATTTCATCTATCTATCATTTAATGCGTATGGTTATGACTTGACTTAATTAAAAATTAGATGAGGATAAATATGATATCATTCATATATTGCAATATGTTGGGTACCAACTCAAACTCCAAGTCGGATGCGGGTTTAAAGGCTAGACCCAATCGTAGTAGTTTTCTTAGAGGCAAAGTTAACTTGGCGGGCAAGTTAGGATTGTGTCTTTGATTAATCTTTGTATAACTTCATGAGAATTAGATAGGGTTAGAGATCTATCGTGATTAGGAGATTGAGTTCTTATCATGATTAGGAGTTTGAATCCTATTCTAATTAGGAAGTTAGGTTAGAGATAGGATTTTGGTTTTCCTATATATATTCTTCTTTTGTTGGAGGAAAAACCAAGGAGAGTAGAGAGGAGGAGAGAGACAATATTCTTGTAATAAGGGTTTTAGAGGGTGTAACCGGGTTCAAGGGTATTGTGAGAAAGGGTTTGGCAGTTTTTGTCCGTACAAAAGATTATAATTTGGATGTGATAGTAGATTAATTCTGATCCCGTGATTTTTCCCTGACGAGGGTTTTCTACGTTAAATCTCGTGTGGTTCTATTCACTGTGTTTGGTGGTTTTCGGGGTTTTTGCGAGATCTAAAATCCCAACATAACATACCTTCTGAGATTATTGGAGAGTGACACAGTACTCAGTATGAAAATCAAGTATATATACCTTCGGAACTTAGAGAGACCTCGACTGCCGACGACAACGAGATCAGGATGTATTTGTTCCACTGCCTGGCATATCATCTCCTTTGGATCACCATCACTGATCAAGGTTTCCGCTTCGACCTGCGAAAGAGCATGCCGGTAAAATTTTCATGCTAACTGATCATTGGAAAATTAATGTAACCGGATCTTCTCCTGTATCAAAAAATAGTGTGAGAGATCACTGCTATATTATAACCGGTGACTTATTTGATGGTTTGGATCGATGGTTTGTGATTTGCACTTCGAATGTATATAATTAGTAATAAAAGCTTGTGATTCGCGGACTTAATATTAGATTAATGAATTGCAATTAACAGCCCACCACAGAAATTAAATCAATTACCTTCCTCTCTTTGCAAACCTGCAGCGCTCGACCGAGGAGCTTGTTGGTATTCTGCTCTTGAGCTCTCCTTGCGGAATCAACCACCGATGAAGAGGCGTATACAGTTGCTTCAAAAATGATCCACGAACTTAATCAGCCAAAATGTTCATATATATACTGAATATAAATTATAAGGGACCAGAAATTAAGATATCGGTGAGCGTAAAACTAATTAAGTGGGGATTAATACCGTTTATGACATTTTTCAAAAGTTTAGTAGATTTAGGTGGTGTTTGGTTGAACAGTGGGCAAGAATAGGATTAGGAATTCCATATTTTTTATGGATTCCTAGCTAATCCACAAAAAATTTTAAGACAATTTTATATTGTCATGAAATCCTTTTTTTTTCATTTCTATGTTTGTTTCATAACATGAAAAAATAAAATCCAACTTTATAGAAACCCTTCAATTCCTATTCTTTAGTTTGGCTTGAAATGAAAAAATGATTTGGTCTCATAATAATATAGGGTTTGTGAAGAAACGGAATCCGAAAAAAAAGAGTGATAATAGTACAAATGCGTCAGCTTTTTACCCTAAATCCGCTTAAATCATTAGGATTTGGGTTTCTATAAAATCCATAAATCTGTCCAAATCATTAGGATTTGAGTTTCTATAAAATCCACATACTTTTTTAACTTTATAGATTCCGAAATCTATAAATTTTTGGGGAACCAAACTCAAGAATAGGATTCATAACCTTTATTTACAATTTTGTCATCGTTAGACCCAAATCCTATTCATTTTCCATAAAAATAATGGAACAAACAAGTGTAATTTTGAAAGTTCAATGGATCTTCTGAGATGTCTAGAAGGGCGCACGAAAACTCGATCCCCAGAGCAATTGGATACAAAAACAGGGTGTCTAAGACATTTAGTCCGTTAATCCTACAAAAACAGGGTGTCTAAGACATTTAGTCCCTCAAAATCATTGAAATTGTTACTAGACCCTCCAATTCTGTAAAGTAGAAGAACGTAGCGAGGTACGTACAAGACTCCAGGGGTCTCATAACAATTTCAACAATGGTAGGGACTAATTAGCAATTACATTAAAGCCTCGAGGCATACCGGCGCTAGGCATGGCAGCTGGTCCCGGGAACAGAAAGTGCTGAAAAGGCTGCTGGACGTGAATAAGGGTAAGTCTACCGCGGGGATGCTCCCGCAAACTCGGTAACCACCTCACCGCCGGTCAGAGGCAGCACTCAGGTCGAAAGAGATGGTCGAGGGTCCACTTTAGAGCATACAAGCTCCCTTCACCCTCGTCCACCGCCACCAACACCTTCATCTTCTTATTCTCCTCCGCCACCGCCGATCCCGTCACCGCCCGCGCCCTTGGCTCCTCCATTCTCCCTCTCGCTCTCTCTCTCTGTTTTGGTTCCAACTCGGTGGTTTTAAATAGGGCCAGTTTTCGATTGTAACGAGACACGTACGTGTGTAGTTTTTTAAGCTCGATTGACCAAAATACCCTTACCAGGTTTATAGTATTTTGTTTTCTTTTCTGCTGGTTTTATTTGTTGTTAAGACATTACTGCTTACGATGGAAGTGCTACGTGTCACGTTGCATGCCGTTTGGCTACAAAAATAAATGCGTTGTCCAATTTGTCATCTACGTACACTACCGCATTAATTAATACTTCTCTCCCTCTAGCTTCTGCGGTTGAATGTCAGGATTTTTTCTATTTTTGGGTAATTTGTTCTTGATTATCTCATTGTTTATCATTTCTCTTATACACATTTTTTTTGTATAAATCTTTCCAAAAAAGCACACTATGATTGCAAAAATCAAACGGGGTGAGCTAAATAACAATGTAACTTGTTAGAACATAAATATTATAGCCCTCGATATACTTATTATGACTTTGGAGTTTTTAATGTGATAACGGAGACGCGTTTTTAAAGTTGACTTAAAAAAATCATAATGCTATTGGAGATCATATGTTTTGGATAGAAAGAAGGGCTCTAAAATTGCAAAGACAAGTTAGGATAAAATTATAATCCTCAATCTTTATAATAATTTTGGAGTTTTGATGTTATATATAGAATGCATATTTAACACAATTCCAACAATAATGCAATTCCAACATCTTATAACAACAAAATTTGGAATTTCATTGATAATTATCATTTAAATGTGTTCCTTTTGGATAGCTTTTTTTTAGACAGGAGGGAAAGGATTGGAAAGATTAGAATGTTAATCATTCAAAAATAGTGTTCGTTTACAATTGTTAAGTAGGGGACGTTAAAAGTAAGCAAGGTCTTTACTTTCCTAACCACTATAAATAGAAGTCATTTACTGATTCTGATAATTCTATTATTTAATTCTATTATTTGGAATAACTGGTTAGGGCATCCCAGATAAGTAATGATGTGAAAATTAATTGAGAATTCAAATGGGCATCCATTCAAAAAACCAGAATATTTTTCAATGTAATGTATTCTCGTGTGCTGCTTGTTCTCAAGGCATTCTAAGGGGGTCCAACTATTCACACTCCCAAACAGTAACTTTGGGGGTGTGTGATGACTAAATTGTCCTTCTCCCAAACCAAACCAGGCCAAGTCCAAAAGGGCATTTTCGGCAATCCAACCCCCAAAGTTACTGTTTGGGAGTGGATATAGCAAACATGATTCTAAGGGTATACTAATCAGGGCCGGTCCTGACATATTCGGGGCCCTTGGCAAAATTAAAAAACGGAGCCTCTTAGTATCAAACATTCAATTTGTAACAACGATATTTTATTTTATTGAAATTAAATATAAGATTACAAAATTACAAAAAACAATTTCTTCTAGCATTGTTTGATGCAAAGTCGTTAATAATGGAATCAATATCTATGTTTTGTAACATCTCATTCTCGATGCATAGCATTGCTAAATTGTTCAATCTTTCTTGTGCCATTGTTGAACGCAAGTAGGTTTTGACCAACTTCAACTTTGAAAAACTTCTTTCCGCTGAGGCTACAAACACAGGCAAGGTTAATAAGATTCGATAGGCAATTGAAACATTTGGATAACAATCAACATGTTTAACAAATTCCAAAATTTGGAGTGCTGTCATTGACACATCTGGTAATGTATTTTGCAACACTCTTAATTCAGAAAACATATCATTAAAGTCAATATCAGATGAATCATTATGAGATAAAACTCTTTCAAGGTGATTGCAAGAATCTCTTAATTTATTATCATCTAATGACTTCAAAGTATTTGAATCACATAAAAATCCAAAAATGCTTTCAAATGTCTTCAATTGTTCAAATCTCTCTTTCAATGAAGTGATTGCCATATCCACAACAATAAAAAAATAATTAACTCTAAAAGACTCCTCCGTGGATTGTATTTCTTCATTATGATCATTTTCATCAAATTGTTTTTTCCTAATGATCCGGCGTTTTGTTGGAAATGTAGGATCCACATTCATATCAAATGCAACACTTCTAGCAATATCCAAACTCTTCTCAAACCCATCATTTCTAAAGTTTTCAAAATATAACATCACATCTGATACCTGTTTCATAGTAGTATTAATGTTCATATTTTTATTTTGTAATTTTTTGCTCACCATGTTAATAGCAAATAAAATGTCATACCAAATAATCATACCAAGTAAAAATTCAAAGTTCTCAATTGCAGTTACCAAACTTTCAGCTTCACTCTTTGTTTTCGCATCTTCTGAAGATTTATATAATTCTAACAAAGCCAATCTTATTTGAGGGGCTTGAAATCTAATGGCTTTTACACTTTTAACCCTACTCTCCCAACGGGTATTACACAAAGATTTGACAGTAAATGAAGAAACACTATCAAGTAAGATCTTCCACCGCTTAGTAGAACTCGAAAATAATGAATATATATGTTGCACAACTCCAAAAAATGAGATAGCTTTAACACAAGAATGTGCCATATCACTAAGAGTAAGATTGAGACTATGACAAGCACATGGCATATATAAAGCTCTTGGATTAATTTCAAGTAATCTTTTTTGAACACCTTGATGTTTACCTTTCATATTAGAACCATTATCATAACCTTGCCCTCTAATGTCATCAACATTAAGGTCAAGTAGTTTTAATACATTTAACAATTCATTAAAGAGCCCCAGTCCAGATGTATCATCTACCTTCAAAAATTCTAAGAAATACTCTTCTATTTTTATTTTATTACTTGACATATTTACACATCGTACAACTAGGACCATTTGTTCTTGATGACTTATATCTGGAGTGCAATCAAGAATTACAGAAAAATATTTTGCTTCTTTAATTCTCTTTATGATAGAAGTTTTAACACTAACGCCGGCCTAAAACGAGAAATCAACTCATTTTGTATTCTGTGGCTAAGATAATGATAATGAACTTCATGATTTTGAATTCGTCTAACATGATCTTGCATTATTACATCAAATTCTGCGATCATCTCAATAATTCTCAAAAAATTACCATTATTATTTTGATAGAGCTTCTCATTAGATCTTCGAAAAGCCAAATGATTTTTAGCAAGACATTTTATGACGGCTACTATTCTAATCAAAACTTGTCGCCATCGTTCTTCAAGACATTTTATGACGGCTACTATTCTAATCAAAACTTGTCGCCATCGTTCTTTTTCCATCATAATTTTTTTTTGCAACTCATTATCAATTGTTTCATTTTTTTTCCCAACCTTAGTCTTAGCTCATTCCAGGAGCTCATATTAGTCATATGCTCAATACTATTTTCATGGTCAGATAGTCTTTTGTAAATATGTCTCCAGTCTCTCAATCCTTCATTTGCTAATAAAGTTGTATTGCTATTAGATTTGAATAATTTACAACAAAAGCAAAACACTTTATCGACAAGTTTAGAGTAAATCAACCATTTTCGATCACTAATTTCTCCATTACTCAATTTTCTAGAATAATGTGCATATGAAAATTTCCTTCGGTCTTCATCTAAAGGAAAATTAATGTTCAATTCTCTTTCAAATCCCTTCTCAACTAAAATGTCTCTCGCTTTGTTATCAAGATTTTTCCATGTGCTATAGGTTCATATATATCAAAATGTGGTAAAGCTTGACTATCATCACCTAGATTTTCATTGATCAAATTCCCTTGGCATAACATTATCATTATGAAAATTCGGTAAAGATTGACCATCATCAACTACATTTTCATTATTTAAATCACTTGGCATAATATTTTCAGTAATAGGTTCACTTGAAACAATATTTTCATCACTTAAATTTTCATTTGATTCACTAACTATAGGAACATTTGAACTTCTTGATAAAAATTTATCAATAGCTCTTTTTTGTGATTCAACAAGTTCTTCTTCTCGTTTTTTCTTTTTCCTTTTTTCATTTCCGCATAAATATTTTCGAGGTGCCATTTTATAAATAAACAAATAACTAAACAACTATATGAAATTTAAAACAAATGTAATTTGCAATAGAATAACCAAGAAAAAGAAAAAGAATAATAGCACCTGATCAAATGTATGAATACGATAATGCCCAAATCACCAAAAAAATTGTTGCAATGTATCACTGTATCAGCCTTTGAGAACACATAACAGATGGACAAGTATGATTTTAATAGACAACCTTATATTAATTTTTATTGAACATATAATCTCTTTTTATAGTGGAGTATTATATGAGAGAAATTAATAATTATTTAATGTTAGTGTTAATTATAAAGGAGTAAAAGTGAATGTCAAACGGTAAAAATTCTAAACGGCTAAAATTTGTTACTAAAAATGAGGAGGTGGATTGATATTGTAGAAAGAAGATCCGGAGATATATAGCTCAAATAGGCATGATTGTTTAATTTCATTGATTACTAAATCTCGTAATTTTCGTCAAATTAACTAACTTGTTCAATGACTTCAACCAACTCTATTTACTAAGGTTTGCTTTGACGGTTTGAATTCCTACAATATGATCTTCCTTTGGGTCAGATTTTGGGCCATAAAATACTTAATACTATTAAAGAACTTTATAAAATTTTGGGACCCCTTTTCAGTGGGGGCCTTGTGCGGTTGCGCCCCCCGGCCCTAGCCCAGGGCCGGCCCTGATACTAATTATTAGACTATCACTAACTTAAGTTGAGATTGAATCTCCCTCATAACTAGAATGTATTCAAGGTGATATATGCGAACTTATTCATCCACCATGTGTACCATTTAGATGTTTTATGGTGCTTATACATGCATCTACAAGATGGTCAAATGTATGTTTATATAACGTCACAACCTAGCTTTTGCAAGATAGCTTTCTTGAATAATTTGATTAAGAGGCAATTTTCAGAATATGTACTACTTAAGACAATTCATCTTGATAATGATGGGGAATTTACATACC